TCTATCACAATTTTGTCAAAATTATTTTATGCGCTGATGTGGCACATAACTAGATCCCATAAATCTAATTAAATATTAATATGTGCATTAAAAATATTTAAATAATGAAAAAACAAATTTTTTTCTTTGGTACAATTAAAAACTTAAAAAATAAAAAACAAGATAAAAAGAAGAGGATGACTGTTCATCATCTTCTTCCCCTCCCACCTGAGCACTATAGCTAGACCACCCCGATCGTGGGACCAAGGCATGCTAGCCGACACCCGAAGATCACGTAACCATTTTTGTGTAGTGATGTGGAAAAGTATGAATAAATTTAAAACAAAGTTGGAACTTATTTAAATAATACAGAGTTTGAGCAATAGTGGGAAGAACCCATAAAGCATAAGTAGACAAAGCAAATCTAGTTAAGGTACTTATTACATAACTGGAAATAAGTTCCTACATTTATTTGGGAGAATGTAAGAATCGCCAAAGTTCCCTTGTTCGCCACCAAAGATCCACCTAAGTAAGTCCTGGAGGGGCAAAAAACAAAAGTTTTGAGTGGGAGAAAATAAAGGTTTTCGAAACATGTTCCATTTTCGAATATACTAACCCCTCGCCATAAATCAAGTATAGTTTCCATAAAATCATACTATGTATAAGTATGACATCAAAGTAATGCAACCATAGTTCAAGAAACACAATTCATAATAGCTCAACTAAGGCATAAGCAAATCAAGTACTCATCAACAATATCAAACGCTTACCATAATATCAAGTTCTCATCAATAACTCTAATGCATCATTATTCTACGCTAACACAAAAATTCATTCAATGGAAATTCTGATATGAACAGGATTGGGTGTAATCATAATATATTCGCTATGTACTACAATCACGTGAAGACTGGCACTAATGTGCATCACATACAAGCCCGAGTTGCCTATTGCAACCTAGGACAAGACTGGCATCTACAATGGATCCAAAGTGAGCGAACAGTGCTATGTGAACATACAAGTGAAGCCTGGCCCTAGCTCGGGGCTAGTACATACACCAGTGTAGCATGCATGATGATAAGAAAAATATATATAATCATGCCATGACAATTTCATGATGTCTACCATATAATATCACATTTAAAATGAATTAAAACATGGCATGATAGGTATAATATTGAATCCAAAAGCATCTTTGGAAACTATAAAACTTTATATATAATATATAAAAACTAATGCCCACTCACAGATACTTGCGATGTCACATCCATTAAAGCTAGGAAGCAGGAGTGTTCGATAGTAATCGCACCAGAGCATAATATTGGGATCCATTAATAAAACTCAACTAAAATGATTAAATTTGGGACAATAGAGCACGGATTTGGAATCAGGACGTCAAAATTAGTCTAGGAGGGGTCTTGGCCGAAACCTAAAAAAGTGAACCCAAAAGTCAACTTTGGCGATTCTGACATTTTCCCAAATAAATTTAGGAGCTTATTTCCAGATGTGTAATAAATACCTTAACTAGATTTGCTCTGTCTACTTACGCTTTATGGGTTCTTCCCACTATTGCGCAAACTATGTATTAGTTAAATAAGTTCCAACTTCATTTTAAATTTATTCACACTTTTCCGCATCACTACACAAAAATGGTTACGTCACCTTTAGGTGTCGGCCATCACGCCTAGGTCCTATGATCGAGGTGTGTTAGAATGGTATCAGAGCATAAGTTTAGCAGTCCTATTCATATCAGAATTTCCACTGAATGAACTCATGTGTTAGCGTAGAATAATGATGCATTAGAGTTATTGATGAGAATTTGATATTATGGTAAGCATTTGATATTATGGTAAGCATTTGATATTGTTGAAGAGTACTTGATTTGCTTATGTCTCGGATAAGATTTATGAATTGTGTTTCTTGAACTATGGTTGCATTACCTTTGATTTCATACTCATACGTAGAATGATTTTATGGAAATTATACTTGATTTACGGCAAGGGGTTAGTATATTCGAAAAAGAAACGTGTTTCAAAAACCTTTATTTTTGCCCACTCACACCTTTTGTTTTTTGCCCCTCTAGGACTGAGTTAACTGAATGTTTTATGGCGCACGAGGGACTCTTTGGCGATTCTGACATTCTCCCAAATAAATGTAGGAGCTTATTTTCCGTTGTGTAATAAGTACCTTGACTAGATTTTCTGTATCTACTTACGCTTTATGGGTTCTGCAAACTCTGTATTAGATAAATAAGTTCCAACTTCGATTTAAATTTATTCACATTTTCCACATCACTACACTTTATGGTTACGTCACCTTTGGGTGTCGGCTAGCACGCCTTGGTCTCAGGATTGGGGTGTGTCAATAGCCCCACCAACAAAGTGCTTAAGCTTTTAGGAATAAGAATAAACCAACCAAATTCATGAGACCCAAGTAAATTATGTTCCTAAGCCTATTAAGCTACATATGGCAACTAGTTGGACGAAATACTCTCTCTGAGCTCTTTCAGCCATGAGGTCGACTCTGTGGTGGTAACGCTGGAGTTGTCCTCGATTCTTAGCCCTACTTTTCTCCAACATGCGCCTCTGGGTCAAGCAAAACTGGGGAGGTTTCAATTCGGATTATCGGTGTCAACAAGTATGAGGACCGTGGGAACGGGGGTGCAACGATGCCGTTATAGGGGGAGGATAATGGTGGGTCACTAAGTAAGGTTCAATCATTGGACAATCAGGATGGTGTAATCAATAGGGTTAGGTCGGAGAGAGAGTACCCTTGGTGGGACTGTAATGCTCGGGTGGGAGAGGAAGAAGATGATGAACATTCAGCTTCTTTTTTTTTTTTTTTTTTTTTTTTTTAGTTTCCAATTATACAAAAATTAAATTTTTTTTATTATTTAAATATTTTTAATCCATATGACAATATTTAATTAGACTAGTGGGACCTAGTTATGTGCCACAACAGGACATAACAATTGATTTGTGACACTTATTTTTTGGGACTATATTGATCGATCTTCAATTTTAGGTGCCATCTTGACGGAGTGGTTCTATTTCATGGACCATTTTTTGATAAAAACACTAATTAAATTAAAGAAATTTACAATAGAATTTACCATAACAACACAATAATTGATTACAACGATGGCCTTGATACCTTAGTTGCGTTTCTAGGCATATTTTTGGGATTAATTTAATTTGAATAATTAAATACACAACAAAAAATAAAAAACAACATAAAATATGTTACCCAATTATATATCTGGTTGGCTAACTTGAATTTCTAGCCATGTGCATGCAACATGATTGGATTATCCTTATGCTAGCAATCTTCCTCTTCATGATTGATTACGTGAAGCTCCCCAAGTGTTGAGCCTCTAAGAGTATTCACACTAATAAATCTAGTAACAAATGATGAAGTGATTCTTTTAAATGTGCTAGTAATTGAAGGAAATATTTGTGAAAACAAGTTCATTTAAGCAACATCTACAACATGCAATTAATAATTAAAGGTGGAATCATGCTTGTATGCACTCAAAAATAAAACTTTACCCATGAAATTCAAGGCCTAGTGAGTGTGGTGAACCAAGATTCAACTCAAGAACAAAGTGAGTTGAGAAATATTATACCTTTGTTAATTCCTCTTTGCATAAGCAAAGGCTAATCACCCAAGAGATAGGGCCTTGAATCCTTACATCTTAGCTCCATGGATTTCTTGGATGAGGATGGTGGAATGGATTCTCCAAGTTCCCAAGAAAAGGAACCTCTAAGTCTCCACACCAAGGAGAGCATTGATGAAGAGATGAGTGACCTAGGAAGATTTAGATGCTAGTAAAACCTTCATAGGGTGGTCGGCCTCTTAAAGAGAAAATGGAGCTTGTGTCCTCATCTTTTCTCCAAAAGAAACCCTAAGGATGAAATCAGTGGCGAACCAGGAATTGACGGAGGGAAGGGCAATGTTAAAAGATTGCAAGGTTCAAAAGAATAGAAACAACCAAATCCTTTTATATAGTAATGTCCTTCATAATTTATCAATACAAACAAATTACAATTGTTGCCGGCGAGGTTTCATATCATGAAAACGTCTCATAATAGGCTCATTATCAATAAAAGCAAATACATATCTCAATGTAAATAAGCATGCTATCACTCAACCATTGATCTCCCATTTTGTTACGCAATGGTGTTTTCACAATCTTCATAGCAAAAAAAGCTCTCTCCACTAAAGCGGTTGCAACCGGTAACACTAAAGCCAATGTAAGAAGCTTATACACTAACATATAGCTTGCACACCTTCCGGTCTTCACCAACTCCTTTGCAAGATCACCAATTCCTCTCAATGATGAAAACTCACTATGCATCTTCATATCGTGAATGTAATTGTCAAGTTGAATTGGAAGATTTATGAGGTCCATACGATCAAAATCTTGAGGATAAAGTTGGGCTAGACGAACAATTTTTGCTTTGTCAAAAGATGCAAAATTATTCACCAGACTCAAACATGCCATACAAAGAAGCAATTCAGTGTTTATCTCATCGAAGCGATCATTCAATTCCTTTAATTGCGTATCAACGACTTGAAAATAAAGGTCCACACGATAGTAATGGAAGTTTGTGAGTCTTGGAGCTTTACGCCTTGATTTTCCGGGTACGAAATGCAAATCCTCCATGTTAGGAACAACAATATCATGCTTTTCACAAAACTTTTGTACATCATCAAGCAAGTCCCCAAAATCATCATTTCTCAAGGATTGTAGTCTTTGCTTGCATACTTCCACTAATGCCATCGCATTCACAATATCTTGATCTTTCTTTTGTAATGCTTGTGATAACTCATTTGTAATTCCCAATATGAGTCTCATAAAAAAAAAGGTGAAACACAAAATCAAAAGTTTGTATATCATGGAATAACTTACTTGCTTCTCCAAAATTGTCTTGGTTGGTATCATCTTTAATCCATCCAAGCACCTCCACCACGGCTTCAAACATGACAATTATACTCACTATAGTACCATAATGTGAGTTTCAATGTGTATCACAAGGACGCATGAGACTACTCTCTTGGTTTAACCCTCTACCCATTTCAAGATCACCAATATCAAGAGCTTTCTTAATTTGTTCTAGTTGTTTCTCTCTAAATGCATCACGACGCTTACACGATGATCCAATAGTATTGACCAAGATACTAACAGTGTTGAAGAAAATGGCGACACCCTCAATTCCCTTTGCAACGGTTACAAGAGCTAGTTGAAGTTGGTATGTAAAACAATGAACATAAAATGCTTGAGGATACTTGTTCAAAATCTTTGTTTTAAGGCCATTTAGCTTACCTTTCATATTACTAGCTCCATTAGAGCCTTGTCCCCGGAACTTGGACATACTCAAATTGGTTGTAGCAAAGATTCTCTCAATAGCCTCTTCAAGCAACCTACTAGTTGTAGAGGTGACATGTTGCACACCCAAAAACTTTTCAATTGCTTCTCCTTTTTTGTTCACATAACGTAATACCACCTCCATTTGCTCTTTAGTTGAAGAATCACGTGATCCATGAACCAAAAGAGAAAAAAATGCACCTTCCATATCTTTAGTGATTGCATCTATAGTTTCAATGGCACAAGCATAGACAAGATCTTTTTGAATATCGGAAGAAGTATACTTAAGATTCTTGGGAGCATTCTCAAACACAACTTTCCTAACTTGCTCATTATGCTTGGAAAGAAATTGTATAAACTCCAAATAATTACCTCTATTGCTTGATTTGAACGATTCATCGTGGCCACGAAAAGGCAAACCTTGTCCCAACAACCATCTTGTACACTCAAGTGAGGCATTCAATAAAGTATGATAATTAATGCGAGCTTCATCGATTTGCTTACTCACAAATGTTTCAATGTGTTGTTTTTGTTCCATCAAATCTCTAGCTTGTTGTACAGCTTTATTATGAAGACTTCCAACACCTCCCTCATGGACTCGAAGATTTTGGGGTCCTTTCTTCCAATGTGTAAACCCTTTCTCAGTAAAGACATCACTTCCAGTGCTACCCATTTGATCAAAATCACATTTGAAAAGATAGCAATAACGGCAAAATGCAGCATTTTTTGATATACTATACTCCAACCACTTAAACTTATCAAACCAACCGATGATAAAACATCTTTTATCACTAACTTTTCTTGGCATAATGTGGTCTCTAGGTTGACAAGGATCATTTTGGAGGTAGTGTCTACGAATTGCTTCACGATAATTAGGTGGATAATCAAGCATTCGACGTCTATGTCCAGGGTCTGCAGGAAGATTAGCCAATATTTCATCCAACTCAGTGGCCTCACTTTGTTGTGACCTACTAGGAATATTCGAAGGAGAGCTTCTTGGAATATTTGAAGGGGCAGAGGATAGCTTGAGAAAAAAGATCGCAGCTAAGGTTATGTGGTATTTTCCTTTAAAACCACAATTGCAACGATTTTTTATGTCGAAGCATACGGTTGAACATATGAGGTGGCACGCAATTGAAATGTCCTAAGGATAAGTTTATGAGGCATCCTTCAGATTCTCCAGCATTGAAGCATTTGGATAATTTATATCCGGATTTTGCGTCAGAAATTCGAAATGTCATATTAGGGTTGGCCAGTGATGGATTTAATCCTTTTGCGAAAATGAGGCATGACCATAGCACATGGCCTGTGGTGCTTTCTGTTTACAATTTACCGCCCTTGATGTGCATGAAGCAACCAAATTTGTTGTTGTCTCTATTAATACCAGGACCGCGCAGTCCTGGTAAAGATATTTGATGTATACATGCGTCTACTGATTGACGAGTTGAATGAGTTATTGGAGGTGGGCACTCCCACTTATGATGCATATTCCAACCAAAGTTTTACAATGAAGGTTGCCGTCTTATGGACTATAAGTGATTTTTCGGCTTATGGAATGTTGTCAGGATGAAGTACACACTATGTGGCCAGCCCTATCGCTGGGTTCCAGACACTTTACTGCTTTGGCATGATCGAATAGGACAACTTGGACGAGATATTATGCGCCATATCCTCAAAGCATCTCATGGACATCACTTGAAATCTTATCCCAGCCATCCGTTTTGCAAAGCATGTTCCCTGGGGAAGTTGAACACTTAACCTTCAATTACCAAGATTATTCACGACCCCCCCTAAATTTCTTCAGAGGATTCAAAGGGATATTTGTGGACATATCCAACCAATGTGCGGACCATTTAGATATTTTATGGTGTTGGTTAATGCATCGACACGATGGTCACATGTCTGCTTACTGTCCACACGCAATGCTGCATTTGTGAAACTCCTAGCATAAATTATTAAGCTTAGGGCTCACCACCCCAATTATCCGATCAAGTCAATTCGACTGGATAATGCTGGAAAGTTTACGTCACAGACCTTTGACGATTATTGCATGTCTGTTAGGATTGAAGTTGAACACCTTGTACCCCATGTTCACACCTAAAACGGTCTGGCATAAACTTTCATAAAGTGCCTTTAAATGATAGCTTGGACTTTGGTTATGAGAACCAACTTGCCGGTATATGCCTGGGGTCATGCAATATTGCATGTAACTATATTGATCCGCTTGAGGCCCACCATTACCCAACCCCATTCACTGTTATAGTTGGTTATTGGATACGAGCCTAACATCTCGCATTTACATGTGTTTGGATGTGCAGTCTATGTGCCAATAGCGCTGCCACTACGTACCAAAATGGGTCCTCAGAGAAAAATGAGAATCTATGTTTGTTATGATTTGCCATCAATTATATGCTACTTAGAGCCATTGACATGAGATCTCTTTACCGCATGTTTTACGGATTGTCACTTTGATGAGACAATCTTCCCGTCGTTAGGGGGAGATAAGATCACTAATGTTTTCTATAGAATGCCGCGAATTGTCGTAGAATACTCCCAATCGTACGCCGTAACATCACCATGGAAGGCCGAACCATCCCCAAGGGTGGGGTGGCCGCACCTGCCACACGGTAGGGTACACTGGTGGCTAGCCAATCACTTGCTCCTACCCTAAAGCATGTTAGGCCTCCTAGTTCAAAGGATTCACAACCCGAAAGAGGAAATTGGCACAAACTAGTGAACCTAGTATGAATCCAACCATTGCTTACTCATTCGTTCCAACGTATAAGGTTATTCTAGATTACAGTGATGTTTTATGAAACATGATGACCTCCTATAATCGTGATATTTCGGTCCATTACGCAGTTTTGGATGAGGTTTGGAATCCGAATTAGATGATAGTCGATGATGCATTCGTGTATACCGTTGCTTCCGACATCATGTTTAGCGATGACATTGAACCACGGTCCATTGATAAATGTCGACGTAGAATGGATTGGTCAAACTGGAAACAAGCAATCCAGGTCAAACTTGATTCACTAGCAAAACGTAAGGTGTTGGGGCTACAAATGGGTTTTCTTGAGGAAGCATAATGAGAAGAATGAAATAGTAAGATACGAGGAAAAAAAAAATAGTACGATACAAAGCACGCCTCGTAGGGCAAGGCTTCTCTCAACGCCCTGAGATTGATTGCGAAGAAGACGTTGATGAGTCGATATTATACCATATATTTTACCCTATTCTTAATTATAATTTATTAGTTTATTTTGGTGAATTTTGATACTTTGTTATGTATTTTTAATATAGGACATTTGACTTCCTCTGGAGAAAGGTGATCAAACGGATTAATTTTGGTGTGATTCCAATTGGAGGATGTTCGTGAATCTTTCAAGAGGATTGTATCAAAATTCCAGATTTTTCTACCAAGCCATTTGACCGTGGCGATGAAAAGAAGACCCAGCGCGCAGCTTTCCCAGATTGACGTTTCTGGACGTTTTGGGGATTTTGGAGGTCAAGATAGTATATTTTGAGGAATATTCCTTCTGAGGATTTGTAGATGACGTTTCAAGCTTTCAAAAGAGACCTTTTAGGACCAAATCAAAGTTTATTTGGTCAGTCAAAAGACTAATTTTCTGAGAACTCCGAATTTCAGTTTAAATAGGAAACCTTTTATTTTCTGTTTTATTATTTTATTATGTTTCCTAGTTTTATTCTAAGACCTTTTCTAGGTAGGATTTTATTTGATAGTAGTATAAATAAGACTTTTTAGCCATTAGATCAGGGGGAGACGCATTATTTTGGAGACCTACTTTTTACCTATAAGGTGTTTTCATTCTTTTTTCTATTTAATATATTTTCTTTAGTTTTTATTATGATTGTTCATAACTAATTTCTTTTGCTAGGGCGAAGCCACGAGCTTTAGCATGAATATGTGATTTTATTAATATGCTTATGAATGGATGCATGCTTGCTTTGAATTATTAATTACCGCGATTAAACTATCTAATTGTCTAAGTGAGTGATTCGCGACCATTAGGATTTTTAGACAAGTAATTTGATATAATTTATGTTGGAACATCACCCTGAAATTGAGGAGGGCTTCTTGTGATTAGTAATTGTAAGTTCACACTTAAGGCGAACATCACGCTTTTAAGGATTGCATGGTTTTTCAAATGGTTTTCACAAAACTTAATGAGTCTTGCATGTTTATATTTGATCTGAACATCACAGATGGGTTGCATGTTAGATATACGTTTTCGCTTGAACATCATGAGGAAAATATGCATTAGGGAAACCTAACCTTAAAAGCATGTATGTGGAAATTCATAAGTAATTGGTAAATTTGCATAGGATTGTTAATGGTGACGGCAGAACCCTAGTGTTTAAATTGTTTTCCAAAACCGTTTTCTTTTGCTTTCTTTACTTTGTTGATCTATTTAATTGTCTTTATATTAAATTCGTTTTTATTATTTTTAAATTCAAAATCAACTTTTTCAATCTTTGTTTTCAAATATTTAGCTAAGAATTAGTTTAAATACATATTATTCATTCAATCCATGCAGAAAACGACCTTATTTGAGCCGTTTATACTACAACTACCTTGTTATCTTGCAAGTATTTTGAAGTGTTTTTATTCATACTTTTGCAGGTGGTAAAAATCTTAAAAATCCTATCTGACATATTCCCACTTAATGGACATCATAACGTTCCGCTACCGTATCAGTTTGGTAGTTTCCAAAAATCTGAACATGCAACTTATGGACGTGGTAACCGCGTATCTTTATGGGGCTCTAGATACGGAAATGTACATGAAAGTTCCAGAAGGACTTCCATTAGCTGGTTCAAATAATTCTAGACCACGCAACACTCTCTCGATTAGATTGAGGAGGTCACTTTACGGATTGAAACAATCCGGGGGGATGTGGTATAACCGTCTAAGTGAGTATTTGACAAGTCAGGATTATGTGAACAACGAACTATGCCCGTGCGTGTTCATTAAGAAGTTATATTTTGGATTTGCAATCGTTGTAGTTTATGTCGACGACATGAACCTTATTGGAACTTTTGCATAGCTTAAGGAAATTGCAGTGCACTTGAAATAGGAATTTGAGAAGAAAGATCTTAGGAAAACTCGATATTGTCTCGGCCTGAAGATCGAGCATTGTTCGGATGGAATCCTAGTACATCGATCGAACTACACCTAGAAGGTGTTGCGTCGTTTTAATAAGGATAAAGCGAAGCCCTCAAGTGCTTCTATGGTCGTTCGAACTTTAAATGCTAAACGATATCCCTTCCGTCCGAAGGAGGGTGAGGAAGAGATTTTGGAGCCTGAAGTTCCATGCCTAAGTGCAATTAGTGCTTTATTGTACTTGGCTTAATGCACTAGACTCGACATCTCCTTCACTATTAATCTTTTGGCTAGATATAACAATGCGCCTACAAGTAGATACTGGAATGGTGTTAAAGACGTTTTCCGCTACCTTAAGGGTACAACATATTTGGGCTTGTTTTACACCCACAAATCCATGAGAGAAGATGTTGCTCCCCTCGATCATCGGGTTGATTCGCGCCTCGTTGGTTACACAAATGTTGGTTATTTGTCTGACCCTCATAGGGCACATTCTCAAACGGTTTTTGTCTTTACCATTGGAGATACTGCTATATCTTGGAGTTCTACCAAGCAAACGCTAGTTGCAACTTCTTCGAACCATGCTGAGATTCTCGTCCTGAATGAAGCCTTGCGAAAGTGTTTTTAGCTGAGAGCAGTTATGGAACATATTCGAAACACTAGTGGTCTTTCTTCAGTCGTTGACCTTTCTACAACGATCTTTGAAGACAATGCAGCATGTATCGAGCAGTTAAAGAAATGATACATCAAGGGAGACAAGACCAAGCACATAGCGCCGAAATTCTTTTATTCTCACCAGCAACAACAACATCAGAACATTGAAGTCAAGCAAATCCGTTCCCAAGACAACGTGGCCGATCTCTTCACAAAGTCACTGCCCAAGTCTACTTTTCAGAAGCTTGTCCAAGGAATCGGTATGCGTAAATTATCTGAATTGAATCGCTTGTAGTCTCATTTGTAAGTTATGTCTAACTTAGGGGAGTATCTTGAAGCATACTCACTTGATCTTAATGTACTATTTTTCCTACGATTAGGAGCATTTTTTCCACTAGATTTTTGCTACCTAACGAGGTTTTAACAAGGCACCCATCCTAGGATGATCATACTCCGTTGAGTTCACTACTTTCATCCCGTTTGACGTTTGTTTTAGACATTATGCATACTTCTCACTTTTCTCCTTAGTCTATGGATTTTCCTCATACCTTGGGTTTTACCATAGAGAGGTTTTGTGAGTTTTACTACCAATGCATACTTACGTTTATTGTATCTGAGACTCACGTTCACTCTGTATGCCAACGACTTCATCAACTGTTCTACCCCATTTGCTGAAGACCTGATGCGACGTTTTGTTTGAGTATTTACATAGGGTTGCAGTCCTATCGGATTAGGATTGTGATTGTGTAAATCCTAGTATATCTAGGAGTATCTTGTAGTTACCTATTAGGAGTTGATTACCTATTAAGATATGTAATCATAAAAATTCTACCTATCATACTACTATAAATAAAGGCATAAGGCGATGATACAATACACACTTCAAAATTAAATCTCTCATTTTCTCTCTTGTTGCCGTTGGCCCCCTCTTCCTCTTTGTCCTTATACAGTTCAGTCAAATAGGTCTACAACACACTTATTATTTTTCTATTTTTAGTTTATCAGATAAACTTACACGCACATATTACCTAAATAATTTATTTCTTCAAGGTAAAAGGAGGATGTGGATGGTTTCTTTTGGACATCTCGCCTAATATTAGAGTCAGTTTCTCGGCCACCAATGAACCAAGAAAAACGAAAAAAAATGGGAAGTCTCACATCAGTGACAACTGGAACATAAACAATTTTTCTATCCAGTATTACTCTCGATTTGGAAATGTCTTCCAATCTGGATTTACCCCAAAAGAAAACGTTTTCAAATCCGCTTTTAAAGTTAACCACAACTTAGCGCAAACAAAATCTAAATTACCGGTTGTAAAACTAATTTAAGATTTTGACCAGAAAATGTTGCTATCCAACTCTGTCTTTACAGCTAGGGAAGGCAATACGTGCAATGTATCTACCTACATAGCATGTCTATGAAGCTGAATGCTGTGCAGCAGAACCAAGCCCTGCTTACCTTGAAAAAAGACTGTCAAAGAGCCATCTGCAACCATCTGAAAGAGCAACTGAAGAGAATCATCCTCAAACAAACTTTGTGCTGCCAAAGGATGGTTTGCCAGTGCCTTCATAACATGCTCATCATTCCCTTATACCCGCATAATTATAGGTTAGAAACAAAAAGAAAGTTAAAAACATACCATGAACCGATAACATAACAAACACAAGAGCACAATAACGTACAAGCAAAGACTATGTTCGCGTCAGGAATTTCCGTCGGGGATGGTTCCTGGCCGACGAGCACACAGCTCCCCGAGAGGTTGGCGCCGGTTGAGGGCAGCTGTCGGGCTTCTATTTCACTATCGGGCTTGGTCGGGCAAGTCTCGTCGGGCAAGTCTTTTATCGGGCAAGACTCGTCAGGCAAGGCTGAAAGAGAAGGACAGAGTTAATTTGAAAGGTGCCTTTGTGGGGCCTTAGGTGTAGGCCTTGAGGCTCACAATCAAGATTAACTTTGAGGTGCTCAGGCGTGCCACTGCCATCTTTAGTATGGCAGATGTAGAATGGATGTCGTGTTTTAGTTGTAAATATGTATATACCCGAGCAACCGTGTTAGATATGACAGGTGCCTTTGTGGGGCTTTAGGTATAGGCTTTGAGGCTTCCTGTCAAACTAAACCAGTGCTCGAACACATCATATTCGGTCTCGTGATTGCAGGAGTCTTTTTAACTATTATACTTCTGATTACCCGAGTCCGAGAAGTAGAGCGAACCCAAATAGGTGCCTTTGTGGGGCCTTAGGTATAGGCCTTGAGGCTTCCCATTAGAGTTCGTTCTTATACTCGAACAGTCTAGACCGTAGAACGAAATGAATCCAAATAGGTGCCTTCGTGGGGCCTTAGGTGTAGGCCTTGAGGCTTCCTATCAGAATCCATTCCATACTTAAGCGTTCTATGATAATTATGATATAATAGAAACAAAACCAAGAGGTAGGTCGATTACTTGCGCCCCAAGTAACTTCGGACTTCTCGTTTATCAAGGACTGTCGTGGATGGGTTAAGTCCACATAAAGTTCTTTTTTATGCCTTGAGGCCAAGGACTTTTAAACTGATCAGATTTACATGCCCGAGGGCTTAGGACTTGGATCTGATTTGAACACTGAAGATATATTCAAATCGGATCTAAATACTGAGAAAGCATTTTCATCATTATTATGCTAGAAATAACTTGCATATAACTGGAAGTACACAACATATTGCTAGGCTTTAAAGAATGAAAAGACAAAGACAAAGCAAAGAAGGTCGGACAAGATTAAACCTTATCAGTTAAGGCTGATCGTCTTGCAGGTTCATATATTTGTAGTTTTGTCAAAGGTCTGAAAGCTTAGAGGGAGAGAGGGGGAGAGGGAGATACAGAAAGTGAATCGATACTACAACAAGTTCGAACAAGGTAGCAGAGCTATTGCAAAGGTTTGAAGAGAAAATTATCCCGCGGGGGATAAAGGCTTGTCCCGAATGGGATGAAGGCTTGGGCTGACTACAGCTTCGTTTTGAAGTCAAATCTGGCTTTTGAGCAGAGTTTGGGCTTGCATTTGTTTGTTTGATTAAGTGTCCTTATTTCTGTCTTCTCTTCCTCTTTTTATAGACAACTCGGTTTGGCCTTCTGTAGCTGCAGCCTTGCCCGAATGCGGTTTGAGGGTGATGACTCATCAGTTTTTTTTTTACATGTAATGCCACCATAAAGTACTTTATGGGATGTGCAGTCTGGTCAGTCTACACCACTTGGTCTTTGGGTAGGTAAGCAAGTGGTCATTTATGAATTGTATCAAGTCAGAAAAGGCCCTTTCCTGCTTTCCTAGGTTTCGGCCGGGCCTTGATCTTCTATTCCTCCAGGCCTCCTTTTGGGCCAGCTTCTTCCTTGAGCCCAAAGTCAAGTTTTAATCCAAACAGTATCTTGGTAAGGCTGGCTAACGTTCTTCACGAAGATTTCCATATTTCCAATAGCTTCGGAAAGATCATTCTGCATCGCCTCTTCAACTTCACGTGCCAAGGCGTCTGCAGTCCTTTTCACCTTCTCTATCATCTCTTGCCGACGAGCTGGAAATTTTGATATTGCTAATAACCTATATCAAAGAAGAAGCAAATAATACACATGAATTATACGTCGCAGAGGAAAGGAGTTCTGCCATGTTTGAGCAAAACCTTGACATTCAAGGCTCAAGCTTCAAGAATTGAAAGATATCTGCAAGTAAATGACGGCAGACACGAATGGTCAAATTCCAGAATACACGTTACCCGCCAGCTGAGGCAAGACCAAGAGCAAGAAGATCTTCTAATGTGGTCGGCAGCACAGATATCAGAAGTGAAGCAGATAAACCTGCCGCTCCAAGTCCACCAAAAGTTGCCAGAGACTGCAGTTGAAGCAAAAAATGTCCAAAACAGATTGACTTAATCATAACTAGTTCTTCATCAAGAACATCAACTTTTAGTTCATATTCTGTACTGAGCTTACCACTTCACGTATTTCTTGCTCAAACAATTTGGAAGCAGCACTGGTACTGAAGCCCTCTTTCACTTTCAAGCTGAGTTCGTTTACTTTCTTCAGCGAATTCTCCGAATGCACCCCACTGTACGGATAGACAAATGAAGGCCAACGTTTTTCAAACATTTCTGCATACATCCTTCCTTCACGAGCACTATCTGATTGCAACCATGTCACATATTCTCCAAGTTGTTTCTTTATGACAAGATGTTGACATTAAACAAAAAAAAGAAGAAGAATTAAAACCCACAAAACCAATAGATAAAGGAAGAAAAACAATTAGAGAATATAATTCTTTTAATTCCTATGCTGAACAGGAGATGAAATTCTGTCTTATGAACTCATACAGGCATAATCCTTGCATAATTCAAATTAGACTGCAGGGCTAGACAAAGGAATAGGGGAAAAAGCTATTAACTTACTTGCGCATCTGAAAATGCAGTACCCATTATGTCATTTTGAACCCTCAAGGTGGTAGCAATCGTGGAGGATTTTTCCCCTTTGAAAACATAGTTAGCAACAGATCAAGATTTGATAATTGCTAATATCAATCTGCAATTTCATGTGCATGCACAATGCGTTAACTCATGTTTGAAAATATATACCAACCATTTGCCACTGGATCAAATTGTGCAAAACATACCACAGATAAAATTCTTCTTCTCCAAGCTATGCTTTCATTTTCCATCTTAACTGCATAGTTCTTAACACTGCCAACTATATCATTTATTGAGGCCAAGTCCTGCTTGGCATATCGGCAGTCCTGTGGGACAAGAGTTTCACAAGCAGAAAGTAGCTTTTTCTGCAATTGCTACCGGTGTTTCCAGTTTAATTTTCATTCTTTCCATTCCTATGCTTGTTGACCCGTCTAAGAAACTATACAAGAAATTCTCAAGTTCAGAGAAATTACTACTTTTCCACTGA